GGAGCAGGGGCTGCCTCTGACTCTGTCGCCCACTTTCAGATCCCTCTCCCCTAACTGAACAGCCTTGTCTCAATAGAAGAAAGATGGGTCCAGTCCAACTTGATATGCCAAGGCAGGATGGTACCCAGGGGACGTCACTCCTTCTCTGAGAAGAAATGAAGGGGCGGGAACAGGAGGAGGGAAGGTGAGGTGAGGGGGAGGGCTTGGAAGGAAAGGAATATAAAGTAAATAAATTTAATAGAAATTAACTAATTAATAGAAAAGAAATCAGGGTTTGAGCTCCAGCACTTAAAATTTTTTAAAAGGAATTCCAGGCCAGGGCAGGAGGAACCCTGTTCTTGTGGGACTGGGGCCGCTCAGGGTCATACCCACAGAGACACAAGCAGTGCCCTTCCTCACACACTCGCCTGAGGACTAAATGAGCTAATGCAAGCAGAGCACTTAAGCCAATGCCTGGCCACACAGAAAAGCATTCAAAGGCGCTGTAATTACTGTCGTCATCCTGATGGTCCTGCTCGCTGATGCCAGGCAGCTAGGTCTCTAGGCCCTGCCTGTTTTACAGGCCAGGAGCTGGCCCTGCTTTCTCACCACAGGGTGTGGAAAGGGCACAAGGCAGACAACTGGAGACAGCTCAGGCTTTCATGAGTTGTGTGACTCCAGGGAAAGCCCTCTCTGGTGCCCACACCCTCCATTTCCTTCTCCCTGAGAAATAAGGGAGGTGGCTAGATGGCCCATGGGGTCCCCCTCATTTGGAATCTCTGGTTTTCATTGCAAAACAAAACCAGCCCAGTCAGAAAGCAGTTAGCCTGGCTGGGCTGTAAAAAGGCCCTGGCAGAGGCAGACAAAGGCGCCCTGTACAGACGCTGCCTCCAGCCCTCATGTGCTGTACCAGACCCTGCAGCTTCCAGGAATCACAGTTAGACGTCTCTACTTGAAACTCCTCCACTGGCTTTGTGTTCCTGGAAGTTATCATCCAGGAAAAGCCAGGGGAGGAGGAGGGAGTGAAAGGGATGGAGAGCAGGAGGGCAGCAGGAAGGAAAGGGACAGGAAAGAGGACAGAAGGAAGGGGAAGGACAGGGGACTAGAAAGGAGAGTGGAGAGGTGAAAGGCAGTTAGGCTGACTGGAGCCCAGGGCCACAGAGGAACAGGAGCCAGGAACAACAAGTGGCTCTTGACTTCCTTCAGCCTGAGGTGCCGTGAGCAACCAAGCACAAGCAGCTTGCTTAACTGAAGAGCACAGCCGTGGCCCTGAGGCCGTGCTACTGCTCCCCACCCCAGGAGAGCCCCAGCTCTCACAGCTGAGTCTACACTCCAGTCTCTCTGGGAGACAGCCCGGGGGCTGACTTTCCCTTAAAGCAGCACCTTTCCCCCATCACTGTTCAGCCCCAAGGGATCCCACTCTGAATGGGGCAGCAGTGGACTCTGCCACCTTGGTAACTGGCATTTTGAAGTCCTGAGCAGGTCACACAAAGGCCTGCCTCCTGAGGCCCCAGGGTCATCCTCTAACAGTGAAGACCACTGTTGATTAAGCAGTCCCTGGCCAGTGCTGGAGCGTGGCTGTGTCCCATCAGTGCCCGTGACAATGTGACAACGCTGTGGCTTGGGACCATTCATCTCAGAAACCCCACAATCTGTCTTCACACTGAAGAAGGTGTCACGAGAAAGGGCCTAGAGGGTTTTTGGCTCTCCCACTTGGCATGACCAGGGAAAGTTACTGGTTTGTTGAGTGCTGGTTTCCCTAAAACTAGAACAGCAACTTTGCAGCGCTGATGGGAAGATGAAAGGAACTGTTACGGACAACTAGCACAGGCTTGACAGGACAGTGAGTAGTAAAGGTTTTGTCCTCTGGAGCAAGAATCCATCCCTTGGCCTCAGCTGCTTGCTAAACAGCTAAAGACATACAATCCCAGACAGAGGTCTCCTAGGGACCTGACACCAGACCCAGTGTCCATGAGGGTGGCCAGCAAGGCGCCTGTGCCCTGGAGGTGTGAGGAGTTCGACCCTGTCTGTCACTCCATAATATTCTCCTCTGCTCCTTCATCCCTGCCCTGCCCCACTCTTTCAGACACTTGCAGGGCCCCCCCCCCCCACCTGGGTGGAGTGCTTAAGGCAGAGCAGGGTGGGGCGAGCCAGAGACCACAGGAACCCATTATCAGGTGGCCCAGGATGGAGAGGCCTTCAGCGGCCCCCTTATCAGCGCCCCAGTGGGATGAAGAAGCTCTGCCTTATCAGAGCCTGAGGCAAGAGTCTGGTTCTGCACTCACAGCCCAGGCTCCCCTGCTGGAGGCTGAGAGCAGCAACTGGCAGTGGTCTCCTGGGAACCCTGAGAGCAAGTGCCCAGGCTTGCTGCCATTTCTGCCATCAGGTTATCTTAGCCAACCGCTTTCCTCCCTAGCCTCAAACCCTGTCTCAAACAGGGTGGCAGTGGGCTGGGGAATGAACGGTCTCAGGCCCTCATCCTCCTCAGGACACTCAAAGCCTGTGACTCTGTGGGGACCGCTGGGCTGAGCAAAGGGAAGTGACTTATATCAGGCATACGAGTTGGCAGCAGGGCTGAGTGGTCAGTCCCTCAAGGCTTGTCTTACCCGACAAGTCTTGACCTCCCAGAAGGCCAGGAGGATGACTCTGGAGCTATTTTTGGCTTTAGGAGCTGGCTGGCTAGGATCCTACAGGGAGGGGCTCCAGCTACCATTTGGCACATGGTCATTCCTGGCTCTGGCCCTCACGCTGAGGGTGGCAGGGCTTTCTGGGCATATGGACGAGAGCTCCCCCCTCCCCATGGGACTCTGATAACAGCTCCTACCTTATCTGTTGGCCAAGGACTGGGCGGGGTACATCTGAGAAGCAAAGGCAAGTTCTCCAGAAAGGAGTGGCAGAGGGGAAGGTGGGATTTGAAGCCTTCCAGCCTGGCCTGAGGTCTGGCAGGAGGACCATCAGAGAGAATGAAGGTGGGCCAAGTCCTTCTCAGGCCTAGAGAGACTCTCGGTTAGGAAGAGCGGAGAGACCTACAATCTTTACCCCAGAGCAGGAGTGACTGCCTGCCTTCGGAGGAGTCAGGGCCTCTTTTGAGAATCTGAAGAAAAGCGCATCCTTGCCTTGTGGGGGTCACTGAGGCCTTAAGGGGCAAGGAACAATAACATGGCTTAAGCCTCTAAAGGCCCCTTGCCTGAGCCTGCATACCCAGAAGCTAGAAACAATGAGTACTGCCCCAAGCCAGGCAGGGCTGGAGATGGGTGAGCTCCCGAAAGCCCCTACCCATGCTGGAACTTCAGCAAATACCCTTCCAAGCCAGGAAGTTGCAGGATTTACTCCAAGCCTTGGCCTAGGCGCCTGGAGGCCTCTATTCCCCTGACCCAGGCCCAGGCTACCTGGGAAGCTATTCTTTGGGGGAAGGAAGGAACAACCTCTGACTGCCCTATTCTTGCCATCTTCTTGAAGCTGGCCTGCTCCCTTCCGCACACACAGGAGATGCACACGTCAGTGTAAACACACAATTGGGCTCTGGCTCAAAAGCGCTATTCCTGTCCGTGTCTGCCATGTAACTGCAGAGCTGCTTTAGCTCTACAGTTAATTGTACCCCATAATAACCCAAAATGTAGTCCCTGCCACCATCTGCAAGGGTCATCTGCAAGCTGGACTCAGGGTTTGTAGTTTTGTTTGTTTTGTTTTGAGACAAAGGCCTATGTGGTCCTGGCTGTCCCGGAACTTGCTATGTAGACCAGGCTGGCCTTGACAAACTCACAGAAGTCCTCCTGCCTCTGCCTCCTGAGTGCTGGGATTAAAGTAATGGGACTCTATGCCTGCCCTGGGCTGACTTTTTGTATTCCAATGACATATATCCAGAACTCCAACTAGAACAATTGAGCAAGGGTGAAACTGGAGAAAAGATTCAAGCTCCAAAGATGCTCCTGACGTTGAAAATGAGCCAGCCCGCAGCCCGGAGGGTCAAAAGCAGAGCAGGGAGAGCTGACAAACTTGACAGGGAGGAGCCTGGGGCTTCCAGGGAGAGGTAGGGATGAGGGTGGGAGTGGGGCTGACTTGTGGCCGAACTTTATTGTCTAAAGGGCTGTAGAGATGTTCTGCATCACACAAGCCCGCACTGTGGCCACTAGTAAAGCTACAGATGAATGTGCCTCACTTCCAGGGACCTGAAGAACTCATAGGACCTTGGATTACCCCAGGCACAGGAACAGTATGGAAGTATATAAAAAATAAGACTTGGTTGCAGCAAAGATGAGGCTGAGTGTCAGACTGAGCGCCCTGCGTTCCTCCAGATCTCTTAGAGTGGCCATCGGAAGAATACCTCCACCTAGCCTGAGGGCTTTCCAACCCACAATGCAACCCAAACCGGACTTAAGCGTTCCCAGGGCAGTGGGCGCCCTCTGCAGCCAGATACAGGTACTGCAGGGATGAGGCCGCTTCCTTCCCTAGAGCAGACGTGACTGGTGGTTTTTCTCTCACATCATCGCCCGCGCTCTGCAGTTAATACTGTCGGTCCATCGTAAGAAAGAGAAGCTTTTTTTAGTGTCCTGCCCAGGCGGTGATAAACTCTGAGTTTGGGTCTCCAGGGATCCTGGCTCACCCATCCCTGGAGGTCTTTGTCCCCGCGTCCCTTGAACAGACCTGGACACCCTCATCAGAAACCAACAACCAACATTTAATGAGGCTTGGTGGGTGTCAGTGCTCCCACCAATGAAACAACAGGGACTGGGTCCACGGGGACCACGCGGACTCAGACCGGGAGGCACAAGTTCAGGCGCTCCTGGCTCTGTGTGCACCGGCGCGCGTACCGTCCAGCGGCCTCTGACATCAGGGGGAGCCTTGAGCTGGCATGGATCTAAAAAGAGTGGACACCGGCGGGCCCCCTCCAGCCTCCCCAGCTCCAGCTCGCAGGCAACCCCGTGCTCCACCCAACAGCCCCGGGACCACCCCGTTTCAAGGTCCAGCTTCCGGGCCGGCCACACCCCCTGAGAACCTTTCCACTGACGCCCTCCACCTCCTCACCTCCTGGAGAACGCAGCTTCACCGCTGCCTGGGGGGCCCTTCCCTCCCGTGTGCGGAGGTTGGGGCTGGGGGTTGGGGGGACCTGGGGTACGGTGTTCGGGAGAACGCGGCGGTGAGGGTGGCCGATTCTCACGGATCCATTCTGTCCCCACTGGTCGCTGCAGACAGACAACTTCAGACATGTACCTGAAGAAGCGAGAAAGGCCAGGTGCGGGGAGTCAATGCCCTTCTTAGCCAAGGTCGCCTCCTCTCTCTCAGTTTGGGAACACGTCCCAGGGGTCAGCTAGGCCAGCTTTTTCTGGCTGCAGCTCCTCCTTTAACCCTGTGTCTTGAGGCAAAAGTCCTCAGAAGGGCTTCACAATTGGTCCCTGGGTCAGGCGGGGGTGGGGGTGGGGGTGAAAGGCAGGGTGGGGGAGAGGGAGGTGGGGAGTGGAGGATGGGGGGAGGGTGGTGAGGAAAGGCCTGAACAGTACCAGGTCTGAGAGCTAGGGTAAGCGGCTGCCTCAGCCGCTAGCCCCAGGGTCCACCATTCAGATGCCTGAGTTTTCAACTCACTTGGGGCCCAGCGGTGCACACATTGTGAGATACCAGTTCTTGGGGAAGCCCTGGTCGAAGGGATTGTACCCCTGATGGTACCTGCACTGGAAGGGGATGAGAAGGGGCCGTCAGACCTGGCCCGTGGCTCACAGCGGCGACCCTGGCCCTCAGCCAGTTATCTCAGGCCCAGCTGCCGCTGGACTACAAAGAAGGGCAAGAAAGCTGGAGAGTGAGCTGGGCTCCTCGCTTTCCCGAGTTCCTGGGGAAAAGCACCCCAATTCTGAGCAGCGCTGCCAGAGCTGACGTTAATAACACGGTGCCCACCTCTCTCCTCTCTTGCCTTCTCCGGCTCCCTGTCACCCGTATGGCCCTGTGTAGTCCTTACTCTCTGTGGCCACACATAACGCTTCCTCTGACCTTCTTCCTGACAGATGTTCAGATCCTGCAGTACCCACTCAGCCCCTGCACAGACAGCCCACCATTTCCTGGCTTTCCCGCAGCTCATATTTGCTTTCTGAATGTCTTCATTGGATTTCACCACCTGGAAGGTTGGTAGTGATTCGAGTCAGATTTTCCCCAGCCAGAATTACACGGTTTAGGAAAGCCTGTCCCGAATGTGGTGATATGGCAAAGGTCAAGCTCAGAGTTCAAATCCTTCCCCTTCCTTTTGTTTGTTTGTCTTGAGACAGAGTCTCATTCTGTAGACCAAACTTGCCTAGAACTCACTTTTGCTGCCCAGGCTAGCCCTAAAATTGCAGGGATCCTCAGTGCTGTGGCTGTGGTTAAAGGGGTGAGCCACGGTGTCAGCATGCCTAGGACACTCCTTTTTTATGTTGTTTTTTGCTTTTTTGTTTTTCAAGACAGGGTTTCTCTGAGTAGCCCTGACTGTCTTAGAACTCACTCTGTAGACCAGGCTGGCCTCAAACTCACAGAGATCCTCCTGCCTCTGCCTCCCGAGTGCAGGCATTAAAGGCGTGCACCAGCACTGTCCGGCCCCCTGAACACTCTTAACTAGGGTCCTCTTCCCTCTCCCCTCCCCCTTTCCACTCATACTGAGACCCCAACCTCCTGCAGATCAAGCCTCAACCCAACTTAGAGAGCCTTAGTCATAATGAAAAAATGGCCCAACATCACCTCCGCCTGCTCCCAACTACCCTGTGCCCCAGGCTCTGTCATCAAGACTTTGATCCTCAGCACTCCACCAGAAGAAGCCAGGACCCCATTCAGAACCATCCCGGACTATCCTGCCGTGGCCCAAAAGCTACAACCAGCCACTCTGCTATGGAAATTCCTGTCTCCTTCAAGGTGTTTAGAGCAATTAAGAGAAACAGGTAGCTCACTAGGAGTTTTGATCCAATGTTTAGAAAGATTTGATACAATTGGCAGAATTTTCAAAGTTACGTGGAAAACAGTCAGCAAGATGTATACGAGGAATAGAAAAATGTTGATTTGTGTGACACTGAAAAGGCTTGGTTTGTAAGAACCAACCAATCAATCTTAGCATGTTCCTTTGCCCGCAGGGTCATGTCCTCTCAGACATGAAGAGAATCCAGTAGCTCTGAAGTGCTCCCACAGCCTTGCACACGCCTGGGCTTCCTCTTACTCCTCTTCTGTGTCTCAAATGCCCCTGCACTCTTCCAAGACCCAAATCAAGTGGCATCTTCCTGTCCTGCTCTCTGCCAACTCCCTGCTCTCTCTCTCTCCCACTCTCTCTCTCTTTCCTTTTCCACCTATGCTTTATCATTGGTTTGTTAGTTCCCTCATTTTTCCTTAATTTTTCTAGTACTTGGAATGCCAGGGCCCTGTGTTTGCTAAGCCATGTGCTCTACCAGTGAGCCAAAGGCCCAGCTCCCCATAGCTCTGGGTCTCAAAAAGTTCTAGGCACCGCAGTGGGGACCGTGAGCACACTGAAAGCCACACAGCCAGCCCAGCTGTCCCTGTGATGTGGGCAGCTGTGAGGCAGTGTTCTGAACACTGAGGGGTGGCCAGGCCAGCACAGAGAAAGGGCATCATGCTAGAAAAGCAAGTCCCTCTGCCACCTTGGCAACATGGCTGCCACCTGCTCAGCCACAGGCAGAGTGCTGTTGTGTGAGGCTCACAGAGTGTACGTCAGGAGTGTCCACTGGCTTTGGACACTTGCTGAGGGGAGCATCGCCATGGTGCTGAGGGTGGGCTTGGGCTGAAGTAGGCCAGGAGGTAAGAATGCAGCTGGAGGACCCAGGGGAGGTTTCAGCAGGCGGAGCGGGGGCTTATGGCATTAGCTAAGGGCCTTGCTCTGATTGTGAGACAGGAGAGGCACAGAAAAGGGGGATGGTGATCAAGGTAACAGATAGGCTCCCCAGTGCATGAGCTATCATTCGAAGGGCCTTATACAAATCCACCCATACTTTCCCTCTCTATAGTGAGAACCCGAGTGACTTGGTGGCTGAGTAACATCCCAGGCCTCCCCCACAGGCATGTTGTGGAGTTGAGATCTGATGTGGTCCATCCATAGAGTTCTTGCTATGAGCCAGCAAACAGGGGATCCAAAGGGAGCTTCTGCCTGGTTTTGGGAAAATGAAAGGTGGCGTATGCGATCAGGTGAACTGGATACTGCCAGAAAGAAGAAACAGCCCTGTCTGGTGGACCCCAAAATTCAGACCACACTTAAATCCCTTGAGGTTGGAGATCCTGGACTGGGAAGGCCTGATTATGAACAGAAGAAAGCAATGAGCTGGGGCTGACTTAGGGACTAGAACCACAGAACATCAGAGGAGAAACTGTTGTTGGGGGAGGGAAGATGGAGGATGGGGCTGGAGAGATGGCTCAGTGGTTGAGATCACTGTCTGCTCTTCCAGACGTCTTCCAGAGTTCAATTCCCAGCACCCACATGGTGGCTCATAACCCTCTATAACTGGGATCTGGTGCCCTCTTCTGGTGTACAGGTGTACATGCAGATAGAGCACTCATATACATTAAATAAATAAATCTTGGGGAAAACAAAAACCTGCTGTGTGGCAGAAACTGAACTGATGGACTGACACCAGAGAGAAGAAGCATATTGACTACTGGGCCAATAAGGAAGGGCTGGAGCAGAAGAGCACAGGGTGGAAGGAGAGTCAAAACTGGGGTGGTGAGATGACTGGGTAGTGAGTAGGTTGGGGATGCTTTGTCTGTCTGTCTGTCTGTCTGTCTGTAGTTGCCCCAGTAATGCTACCCACCTGTCCTCTTAAAACAGCAGTTAGTCAAGCTACTATCTAATGAAATGGGTACAGAAGCCACATGCTACAAAAGCAATGATGACGGATAGCAAAAAACAAAACACCCGAAAACCTAAATAAACATAAGGTGAAGCATATTTATGGATCCCCAAATGGTCTTCTGCTCTACAGGTCAACAGAGTTCTGATGAAGACCCCAGATTTGTAGAAAGTTTCAAGCTGACTCTCAAATTTCCGTCCAAGGAACAAACAGACAAGAGAATCTCAAAAAAAAAAAAAAAAAAAAAAAAGCAGTATAGAACTCCTTTTGTGCTATTTCCAAACTATAAATCAATAATAAATAAGGCTGTACAGGAAGGGCAGAAACACGGTATTGAGAAATAAATCATGTCTACCTGACCAGTTCTGTTTTTTTTTTTAAATAAATATACAAAAACTCACTACAACGGAGGAAGAAAACCTCTCCAACAAATGGTGTAGATATGCAAACGGCAAGTTTTGGGAACTGGTTAAGACCACTGTCTATTCTGGCAGAGGACTTGGGTTTCAGTTCCTAGAACCCACATGGAGGCTCAGAACTATAACTCCAGTTCCAGGGGATCTGACCCCCTCTTCTGGATACCATGGGAACCAAGCATGTATGTGGTGCACAGACATACATCCAGGCAGACACAGATACACATAAAAAAATAAAAACAAGTCTTTACCACATACAGAATTTAAGCCCAAAGAAATAATAGATCAAAAGGTAGAATTTGCACCCACAAAATTTCTGTAGAAAAACACATGAAATGTTGTGACCTTGGATTATTAGGCAAAGATTTCTTAATGATGACACCAAATGCACAAGAACCATTTTGGCCTGTGTGAGCATTCACGCACACGCACACACACACACAGCACAGATGCACAGATACAAGCACACATACCACACACATACACAAGTACATACAGACACACAAACACATACACGCCATGCACACGAATACAAACACTTCATCGCGATCAAAAACGTCTCTTTGGAACACACGGAAAAGAAAATGAAGTAACAGGCTGTAGATTTCAAGAAAATATTTTTAAACACATGCCCGAATCCAGAATGCACAACGTACTCATAAAAAAAGAGAATATAATCCAATTTTTAAACGAACGAAATCTTGGAGAATACATTACACCAAAGACAGGCTACTCAAGCCGGGTATGGTGGCACACACCTTTAACCCCCAGCATTCGGATGAAGAGGCAAGTGAATCTCTGTGAGTTCAAGGCCAGCCTGGTATGTAAAGCAAGTTCAGAACAGCCAGAGCTACACAGAGAAACCCTGTCTCAAAAAACAAACGACGACAACGAGAGGTAAACTGCTTGGTACCACTCTCATGAGGGAAAAATAACTCAAAGCTTCAGGATGTTACCACACAATTACTAGGTGGCTTAAAACAAAAACCAACCCTCTGACAGGGTCGAGTCTTTGGCAACTGGAACTCTCCTATATCACTGTAAGAATGCAAAGCCGTGGTTTGAAAGACAATCTGGTGGTTTGTTATAAGATTAAACCCAGCTGACCCTGCAGCGACATGCCTAAGAATTTACCCGACAGGAAAGCTTACGTTCTGGACATCAGTGTCTGGACTGAGTCCATTTTACAATCACCCCAAACTAGAAATGTAAAAATCCTTCAGTTGGTGAACAGATACTCCGTAGAGCACGCATACAATGCCAGTGATACACAGCAGAAGAGAGGAATGAACAGACGAGAACAGCAGGTGTGTGGGCTAAGCAAGGCAGAGTCCGAAGGCAGGGATGACATTTATGTGGGATTCTGGAAGATTAAAAACTGCAACAACAGGTGGAAAACAAATCAACCATTGCCCGGGCCTGGAATAGGAAGACGGTCAGATACCCCTACCATGACTGCTGGGTTTCCACTGCACCAGGACGAGGTCCCATGCTTGATTTTACTGACCCCTTTAATGTGACTGCCTCAGAGGGGTCTGCTCAATCGCCAGCGCCCAAATCAGAGCTGTTTCCTCACTCTCTTACCAATATGCTTTCAGCCTTTAACTCCAGCAGTCAAGAAAGAAGAAGAAGAAGAAGGAAGAGGAGGAAGAGAGGAGGAGGAGGAGGAGGAGGGGGGGGAGGGGGAGGAGGAGGAGGAGGAGGAGGAGGAGGAGGGGTGGGGAGGAGGAGGAGGAGGAGAGGGAGGAGGAGGAGAAAAGTTCTATTTTCTGGCTCCCTAGTCCTTTCACAAAGCTGGTAACATCAGTTCCTCTGTCTTCTGCTCCTCTGAAAGCACATCAGAGGCGCACAGAGTGGCGTGTCGGGCCTTCTTAACTCTTAGCTCCTTCTCTCAGTTCAAACTACCCAGCCCGGGACTGGCCTTTCTTGGTGTGGTCCGGGTAAGTGCCATGTCTATGCCTGAACCTGAGCCCTCAAAACTGCTGGCAGCCTAGCACACAACCATGGCACCCGGGACGGAGAGCGAGCGCCGCGCTCCAGCAGGTGGCGCTGTGGTCTGCGCTGCTGCTCAGGACAGAAGTCCATCAGGGCCAAGGGCAGTGAGAGCTAGAGGACGCTGGACGCTCCCCACAGCCAGACCTCCAGACGGCCACGCTCCGCCCACATACCTTGCTTTCGAAGGAGCGCTCCGCTGAGCTCACAGATATGACCTGGATCAGCAGCAGCAGGAAGAGAGGAATCAGGAAGCCCGCAGCGGGCACAGCCACCAGGATGCTCAACCAGTTAAGGAGCCACGCCCGGTCCATCTTGTCTTCCTTCTCCGCCCTTGCTCCTGCCCATCACATCTCCCACCCCGCTGTTGGCCTGCTTGTCCCTTTTAGGCTTCATTATTCTATGGCCCTACTAGGTTCTTTTATTTTATTTACTCCGTCCATTTCCCTACTTCCGTTAGCCTCTCAAGTGGCTTCTCCTCCTAGCTTCACCCATCACCCACTCTACCCTCTAAGACCTCATCTCTCACCTGCCTCAACCCCTCCCTCCCCACTGCTCCTCACGCGGGCCCTTGGGCATGTGTAGATACGCCATTGCCTTGTCCACGGAGAAAGGCAGATGGCTTGCGCGAATTAGGAACATCAGGCAGGAGACCAACAGGGCTCCTGAGTAGAGGCAGAGGGACAGGACCAGCAGCATGAAGAGGCGGAAGTTGCGGTGGCCAATGCAATTATTGACCCATTTGCAATGGTGGTCGAAGTCCTGTGACAGGGAGAAGAACAGGGCCTCCAGGATCCGTTCCCAAACAGCTCGGCCCTTGATGTCACTGCCTTTCCCCCCAGGAAGAATCCTGGTGACCAAAGTCCCTAATGCTGTTATAGCCTTCCAGAGACTGCTCGTGTTCTGTGAGGATTGCCCTGCAGCTTCACTCTGTCTGGACCTCTATTAGGTGAAGATGAGAGGAGGAAGTCCCCAGATCTGGCCTAGAGCCAAGTAAAGGGTTCAGATGTCCAGTGACAGCAAAGCAGGAGATCGGATAGAGGCTGTCTTCCCTGCCCCCTTCCCCAGAGCCAGAACACACGGATGTACCCATGCTGACGAGCCAGCCTCCCTGGACAGACACTGGCCCAGGGGCGGCCACCTGCGTGAGGGACCAAGAGCAGGTGGACGGACGTACAGTCATCCTTTGGCCCTCACCTGTCATGACTAACTCTCACACTGACCCCTGGCCCTCGTCTGATGAGACACCTCAGGGCTCTGACCGGGTCTAGGCGACAGGTCAGCAGACGGTAAGGGGGCACTCACCTCCACACAAATGTTACACCAGGGGCAGTGGTAGGTCCGAGGCGGGCGATGGAAGCAGCACTTGGCACACCACTCCAGGCGGAAAGCCCGCTGGTTCACACACACCACGTGCACCGTCATGGGGTCTTCATCAGTGGAGCCTGACACGAGGGAGACGTAGGCGGTAACCCTTATACTGCTGCTCCTGGCAGCCCCGCAGCAGGGCTAGGCACAGGGGGTGTGGGGAAGAGGTGGACAAGGGAATTCCTGGCCTTCCTCGGCAAGCTGGCCATCAGAGAGACAGAGACAGAGAAGTGTTGGTGGAGGCCTGCTCCAGCCTTGTGTGCAGAACTCTGCCTTTCGAACGCTTGAAGCTTTGTGTAGCGGGAAGACATTTCACACTGCGTGGTGGTGAACTGTGCGACCCACCCTTCCCAAGCGATTGCAAACCAGCCAGGATCCTGCTTCGGTGTTTTCCATGCCTTGGGGGCTCAGGAAATGAAACGCTAAAGCCGAGCAGTGCTGTCCTGGGGTAAAGGGGTCCCCAGCCTTTTGGGGTGCCAGCTCCTCCTTTCAGGGGGCTGAGTCCTCACCTCGATGTAAGATACCAGGGTCTGAGAAGTTGAGCCACACCAGACTGCAGAAGGTGAGGGTGAAGAGTGGGCCTGTGACCATGGCAAAGGCCCATTCTCCGTTCTGAACCAGCCACCTACAACTGAGACCAGAGCCACTTTCAGTCCTTGAGCTGGAGCGGCCTGGAGCTCCTCCCCAGGCTCCATCCAGCTGGGTCACAGAACTTAAAGCCAGCTCTGAGTATCCTGGCAAGGGACAGACTTACAGAGGCCCCATCAAATGTCACCCACCTCTATGTCCTAATTCCCCAGAATCCTATGCCTGCACATTCTTTTTTTCCTTTTCTTTTTTCTTTTCTTTTCTTTCTTTCTTTCTTTCTTTCTTTATTTTTTATTTTTTTGTTGTTGTTTACAAGACAGGGTTTCTCTGTGAAGCCCTGGCTGTCCTGGACTCTTTGTAGACCAGGCTGGCCTTGCACTCACAGAGCTCTGCCTGCCTCTGCCTGGGATCTAAAGGCGTGTGCCACTATGCCTGGCAGCCTGCACATGTCTCTCCCTCGGACTAGACCGAGGGTCTAGTCTAAAGGCTTGTTCCCCAAGCCTTCCAGAGCTCCTTCCTGCAACTCCCCGCCTCTGTACTACATTTTTTACTATTCCCCCTTCCGTATAAGAAACCCAACAGACGGCCTGGGACACGCACGGGAACCCGAAGAAAAGCCCGCTCAGAAAGACCAGCAGTGTGACGTTGAAGGCAGCGAACAGGCTTGGCGGGAACCATGAGAGCGGGGCCACAGGCAGCTTCTGCGGTTCCTTCACAAGTGTCACAGCATCCTTCAAGAAAGGCATAGCTAGGGCAGAGGAGAAGGTTCACTTGGCAAAGCACTCGCTGTGCAAGGGTGAGGGCCCGAGTTCAATCCTCGGGTCCCCGTGAAAGCAGGGAGTGTAAGTGTATACCTTTAGAAGCCACAAGAGGATCCTGGGGCTTATTGCTCAGGCAGTCCAGCCAGAAAGGCAAGCTCTGGATTCAGCGAGAGGCCTTGTCTCAAAAAGTGAGGTGAGATTAATTAAGACAGCTAACTTTGGATCTCTCTCTCTCTCTCTCACACACACACACACACACACACACACACACACACACACACACACACGAGGTGGGGCATGACCCCCATACTCACAGGGGAACTATGAGACACCAGCTACTCTTTCCTCTGTTGACTCTCAGAATTTCGTTGCCATAGCAACAGAAGCCACAGCCCAGGAGAGGAGGGGGAGAAAAAAGTGTCAGTATGATGTCACAGAGGCAGAGGAATGGGGGCTCTGGCTGCTTCCTGTCGGTCACTTTTGATTCCAACTGTCCTCCTGCCCACCTCTCATGCTAGAGTCCAAGGAGCCCCAGCCTGGCCTCAGGCTTCCTTGGAGGCTGCTGGGGTTTGGCCCCCAGAAAGTCACGTGATGCAGCCCTGTTGGTGTGCTAGAGGCCTCAAGAGAGGGGTTAGCAGGGACACTGATGTTCAAAGGGACTTATGGAGTCTTCATGGGACCCTCATTTAGCCGTTCACTATTTAAGAAGTAGGACTGACTCCTCTCCAGTCACAGGATCTCTCTGTCATGACTTCTCTGAGTTCCAGGCCAGCCAGGGCTGCACAGAGAGACTCTGTCTTTAAAAACAAAAAACAAGCAAACAAAAACATGGAGTACAGATCTAAACAGAATTCTCAACAGAGGAATCTCTAATGGCTGAGAAGCGCCGCCCTCCCCCCCAAAAAAACATGTTCAGCATCCTTAGCCATCAGGGAAATGAAAATCAAGATTCTGAGATCCATCTAACACGTGTCAGAATGGCTAATGTAACCTGCTTAAACTCTATAGCCCCTCTGTTGAGACCTCCTTTAGTTCTTAGCACAACTGTGGCTCCTCTGTGAACACCTGCTATAGCCTTCAGCATATCAGAAGCCATTTTGCCACTAAGTCTCCATTTTGATCATTAGGTGAAATTATGTGCCTGAGACCAGGATACCATCCAGCAGTTCAACACTTGCTGCTTAGAATAAAACAATAGATGATAAATGCCGGTTCTGCTTGAGTTAAAGATCGCAACATCCTGCTATGTTCCTTACTCCCAGAAAGCTGGAAAGCGCCCAAGAGGTCCCCTCCTCTAAATCCCGGCCAATCAGCTTAAAGTGCTTTGCCTAGCTACCTGGATACAATACAATACAATTTGAACAAAATAGATTATGTTTAGTCAGTCAAAAAGATGTAATGCTGGCCCCCCTCACTTCCTACAGCTGGTTACCTGGTTGTTACCTGGTTACGATTTTTCGCATAAAAAAAAAACCTGCCTCTGAAACAGAGGCATCATAATCTATTATGGCCAGTCCAGATTACGGCCCTGACCTGTCAGTTTTTGTCCAGCTTTCAATAAACTCCCACCACTCTGGATCTGGTGTTCGAGTGGCCAATATGTGGCTATTCCTGAGCCCATAACAGCTAAGATTTAAAACACAAGCAACAGTATAAGTGCAGCAAGGGGAAACCCCTCCGTTGCTGGCGGGAGCGCAAGCTTGTGGAGTCACTTCGGAAATCAATATGGTGGTGTCTCAGAAAACTGGGAACTGATCTGTCTCCAGACCCAGCTATACCACTTCTGGATGGTGGAGCATCCTTTGGGTATCTGCCCAGGGGAAATAGAATAGACATCCCATAGTGGGTGGAAGGGCAGGGCAGGGGGAAGGGAGACAGCACAGGAGCAGCAGGGATCCGGGGTGTGGAGAATGGAGGGAGAGGGTACTGGGAGAGGCTGCGGTAATTGGGGCATCTCGGGGATGAGCTAGAAAACTAGAGCAATGGAAACCCCCAAGAATCTACCAGGGTGACCCTAGCTGAGACTTCTAGCAGAGGGGATGTGGAGCCTGAGCTGGTCGTCTCCTGTAACCAGGCAAGACTCCCGAGGAGGGACTGGGTCACCAACCCAGCCAGCCACAAAACCTTCCGCCTATAATTTGTGCTGTCCACAAGACGCACTGGGGTAAAGGTGGCACAGAAATTGTGGGAGTGTTCAATCAGTGACTGATCCAGCTTGAAAGCTATGCCACAAGAGGGAAACCACACCTAACACTACCTAGAGGGTCAGGGACCAGAGGCCAGATAGCCCAGAGACTCAGGATAGAACCAAATACGCCTGGAAAAAAACAAAGATCCTAATGGTATTCTGTTATACTTATAGACAGGATCCAATGACCCCTCCCCCCATCCGCCCTCTGTGGGTATCACACACACACACACACACACACACACACACACACACACACACACACGTGGCATAGACACATTCACAAAAATAAAAATAAATCTTAACAAAGAGTGATCAATCAGGCAACATCTATTCACTTGATATCAGCAAACAGCAAAAGCTAACCGAGACAGAATTTTAAAAATCATCTCAGTTGGAAATAAAGATTTGAAAAGTCCAGGGCTTTCTGTGTGTGATAACTAGCTGCTTCTCTGGGCAGTAATTGGAGCCCTTGATAAAATCTCACCTTTTTTAACCAGAATACAGTTATCAAGGTAACCCAGACAACTGCCAAGCAAAGTTCTCCCACCTCCCCCTTAGGGGTGGAGGTAGGTTTTTCCGTGGAGCCCTGGCTGTCCTGGAACTCCCTTGAACTCAGAGGGCCTCCTTGCCTCTGCCTCCCATGTGATTAAAGGTATGTGCTCCCGTACCAGACTCAGAAACCCTCCTTAATTAAGACGGTTTTTCTTTAACCTCTATCTTATTTTATATTTACCAAGAGAGAAGTCTTCCAGCTGCATTGAGAGCAATGCCTATTGCCAAAGGCTTCTCTCTCTCTCTCTTTTTTCTTTATGAGACAGGCTCTCATAATGTATCCCAGGCTGGCCTGGAATCCACTATACTATCCAGTCTAGCCTCAAAGTCACAGCTATCCTCCGTCTCAACCTTCTACCACCATGTCTGGCTTGAATTTTGTTTCTTTTAAAGGACATATAACAATCTGTGGTCTGTTTATTATATGGTATTCTGCCTGCATGTATGCCTGCACACCAGAAGAGGGCTCCAGATCCCACTATAGATGGTTATGAGCTACCACATGGTTGCAGGGAATTGAACTCAGGACCTTTGGAAGAACAGCCAGTGCTCTTAACCTCTGAGCCATCTCTCCAGCCCCCAACCCCTGCTATGTTTATGCCACATTTTCTTTATCCACTCATCTACCAGTAGATGCCAATCAGTTGTTCTCATTTTGCCTACTGTAAACACAGCTGTCATGAATGTCTGTTTGCAGGTACTTGTTCAAGTCCCTGACACCTCTTCTTTAGGACATGTGTAAGGAAGTGGCCTACCAGGGCCTGTGGGAATTGTGTATTTAATTAAGGAATTACCACCGTGCTCACCACAGCCTCCGGACCATTTTAAAATCTCACCAAAGTATAAGCATTCTAGTCCCCCACATCCTGCCTACCACCTTTTTTTTCATCACCTTTAAAAATAATACCCATTTGTTTCATTTAAAAAAAAAAAATGTGTGTAGGTGTTCCGCTTGCAGAAACATATTTGTGTCATGGGCATGCCTCATGCCTGCGAGGCCAGAAGAGAGAACTTGAGTTACAGGCTGTTGCGTGCTAAGAATGGAAACCAAGTTCTCTGGAAGAGCAGCCAGTGTGTGCTTAAGTGTTGCGCCCACCATAAAAAACCATCCCCTTATAGGCATGTCACAGGCACTTCATTGCATTTTAAAAATCTTAATAAAAATTCAAAAGGAAGCAGGATTTTTTTTTGTTGTTGTTGTTGTTTGGTTTTGTTTTCGGGACAGGGTTTCTCTGTCTATCTCTGACTCTCCTGGAACTAGCTCTGTAGCCCAGGCTGGCCTCAAACTCAGAGATCTGCCTGCCTCTGCCTCCCGAGGGCTGGGATTAAAGGTGTGCAGCATCACCCAGCTGGAAGCATGATTCTTATGTGCAGAAAAGCACAGAGTACAGTTGAAAAAGACAAAGGAGACCTAAGTTAATAATGATCCTATGTTGATGATTGGAAAAGCAGACGTTGTTAGGACAGCACCAGTCCCCAACTAGTTTATACATCAGTGCAAATTTTTTTTCTCTTTTCTCTTCTCTTCTTTTCTTCCAAGGTAAGATCTCATGTACTCCAAGCTGGCATCCAAGTCACAACAGAACCAAGGACGACTTTGAACTTATCTCCCCGCTTATACCTGGAGAATGCTGGGAGTACAAGTGTGTGGCACCATTCCTGGCTTACGTGATGCCAAGGATGCAACCCAGAGCTTCGTGAGTACCAGCCAAGAACCTTGCCAGCTGAGCTACACCCTCATTTTTAGTGACAAACTATTGATTGGAGTTCTTTTTTTTTTTTTTTGCACACATGTATGTTTTTTTCATGTATATGGTGTGTGTGTGCAGACATGCACGTGTGTACTTGTATTCGGAAGCTTGAGGTTAATTTCAGAAACCTTTCTCTCTTCTATCTTGTTCTTTGAGACAGAATTTCTCAATAAAACCCAGAGCTTGCCAACCTGCTAGGCAGCCTGCTCTGAGGATCTCCCATCTCCGCTTTTTGAGGCTAGAAATACAGGCAGATTTGGGGGTGGGGGTGGATCTGAACTCTGGGACTCACGTTTGCTCAGCAAGTGCTTTAACCACTGAGCCATATCCCCAGCTTGTCAGATGGAATTTTGACAGCTGTTCCGTGGACTGGGGCCAGGGAATTTTGCAAGAACAAATGTTCTTAACCACCGAGCCATATCTCCAGCCCAAGTATAGTCTTTTTAATAAATAGTGCTGTCACAACTGGACGGTCATGTGTTAAAGAATCAATCACAGGGATGAGGCTGTAGCTCAGGGGCAGATTTCATAACTAACGTATGTGAGACCTTGGGTTCAATCCCCAGTACTGCCAGAAAAATGATTAACTGCATCCTATACAAAATAATAATTCAAAATGGTTCAAAGACCTAGATGTAAGATTTT